GGCACAGAATTGGCATATATACATATATTCATACAATGTATGTGTGCTTGAAAGTAAATATGCATTCAAAAATTAAAAAACTGCCCTACTCTGCGATTCTCAAGTCTTAAAATATGTTTTACGGATTTCCATTCATTAATAAGAAGTGTTATATTTATAAATAATGTTTTCAATCTATTAATATTTAGCTCTTACGCTATATCTCTGTCTTTCTCCTAGATTTACTTTCACAAATTTGTACACAAACTTGTCTCCCTTACAGCTGCACATTGTCATGCTGTTATACAATCTGTTTTATTGAGCTTCATGGTCTGACTAACCGTTCTGCTCCGATACATCTATATAGATATATGTATGTACATTTTTCCCTGCCCAACTTATTCTAGATGCATGTCCATTTAATTTTTTCACAACGTTAGCTGCTTTTGCATTCGTTTGTGGCCAAATCTGGCTCACCCGTTGCTGGCCAACAAAATCTTGAAAGATGAAAGCTAAAGAAAACTTGCCTAATCCAATGAAAACAAGCAGCTCAGCTGCCATTGATAAGGACCAAGTGCTAGGCAACCGATCCGAATGTGCCAAAGTGATATTCAAAATAATATTTAAATAACCAATTTTTATTTGTTCTTTTTGTCCTTGCTAGTTGCTAACTGTGTTTGCTTTAAGATTTTTGTTCTACTATATTTTTGCATAATTTTCTACTCGTTCTTGGCTTGCGACGTGCCCAACTCTGAAGGCAACTCTGAGCCGCACCTGTCAAATGTTTAGAGCTCATTTGGTTGGGAGCTCTAGCTTGGGTTGGGGCTGGGGCTAGGGCTGAGGCTGGAGGTGGGGCTGGGGATGGGGCTGAAGCTTTTGGCATGGCTTAAGTCCCTTGGACTTTGGATAAGATTTTAGGCAGCAAATACTCTGGCTTGCATTTCAATTTGTGGTCGCCTTTGCTTGCAGCTTGACAACATTTTGCCTTCTGCAATTTACAGTAAAATTTTATGCATAATTCCCGTTATGACACTTGCGGTGCACACAATCACATGCTGCCATTGCTCGGCATGTCTATGCATGCAGATACATGCGGTTGCTGCAACAGATACAGCAAAACATCTAAAGGTACAGATGCAGATACACGCAACATTCAAGGCATTCGCAGAGAGACAGCAGCTAAGTCGAGCAGTCGAGCAGTCGAGCAGCCGAGCAGCATACCAATTTATGTTATCTGAACACTCGAATAAACCACCAAACGCCAAAGTTCTTGCCACTGCGCTTATTTCACATTGTAGTTGCAGTTGTTGTAGTTGTTGTTGTTGTTTTTGATGTTTTGGTTGAAGCTGAGAGCGCCAAAATAATTTAGATTGATGCCCTGTTGCCGTTGCAATGTTGTCATGTCGAGCGTTGTCTCAATCGAATTGCAGACGACACTTGTGCCGAGCACTTGCTAAATAACAGTATCTATAGCTACATATAAACATAAATTCATACATAGCTGCACACACACACACACACACTGGTGCTACAGCCTTTCTGTTTGCATTAATAAGTACGTATTTGTATTTGCATTTGCTGCCTGCTAATGGTATCTGTAGCTCGGCATATAGAAATGTATCTGCAGCTACATTGTTGTTTACTCTTCGATTTGTTCTTAATAACAGTACCTCAAGCTACATATATTCTAGCACTTTCTTAACTTTTCGTTTGAGTATCTATGTTTGAATAAGTTAGTTCGAGCCTTAACTTTACTTAGCTCCATATCTATATATGCTTTCTGTGTGTATTTTTGTCTGTATCAGTATGTTATTTTTTGCATAATTTAATGTATTCATGAATAACATGTAAATGTATCTGCACACATGTATATTTATATAAATGCATTTAATACAGATATATTAAAGATTTATTTACAGTTAAACATATAAATAATATGTTAATATTATATGGTACATATTAATTTATTTTTCAATATGTGTATCTTTGAAAGTATCTCCGTTCATTTGTAAAACCTTTTGATCTGCCTGCAAATACTTGCAAAAATATCATTGCCTATCTGCACAGCTTCTGTGCTTATTTTTTGCATGCAGCTTTTGTATCCATATTTTCATCAGAATGCCATTTGCAAATAGCTGCACTGATGCATAGGTTCGATTGTTATAGCTAAAAATATCTGAATATCTTTAACATTCCACAAGCTATTGCCGAATAGCATGTATGCGCTAGCAGGTTCAGCTTTCCTTTTTAATACCCTAAGCCCATTGAAGACTGCAAAGGGTATAATGTTTTCGTGCAAATATATGTAACAGGCAAAAAAAAGCATTCCCGACCCCGCAAAGTATATATATTCTTAATCAGCACGACGAGCTCATTCGATCTAGTTATGTCTGTTGTACATCCGTCTGTTCGTCTGTGTGATCTCGTCTATCTCGAAAGATAAAAGCACTAGAGACAAGAGCTGGAGAGAGAAATTTGAAATAAATATTCTCTTTAAACATATGTAAAACGAGTTAATTATTCTTATACGATATTAATAGATTTTGAGTCATGGTACTTAAGCATAGTTAGTAGGCTCTCGCATAGTACATACAGATTACAAATATTTCATTTTTCGGATGGCTGCCACATTCCCCCAAATGCAAATACCTTGCGCTCTAGTATATACTCACTATTGTATGCCATATTTAAGCCCTTAAAATTTAATTCAAATCAGCCTATAAACACCGACGTTAGTTAAGAATGTATTGCGCATACATAGTGTGGCACTGCTTGCGGCATGTGTGTGTCGTTCGTGTGTATAATATATATGCGTTTTTGTGGAACTGAAGCTTGCCTCTGGGTTCAGGGTATCTATAAGGCGGCCACTCCCGACTCGAGCACTCTATCTTGTTGTATCTCTATTTGCGTCTCTATTCCAATTTCTATCAATATTACTATTTGTATTTGTATCTGTATTTTGTATTTTGTATTCCACTCGCTTTATTTGCTCGGTGCTTGCGACAAGAACCAAGTGGAAAAAAAAGATGTGATGCTACGAGCTGCAGCAAAGGAAAATTAAATATAATTAATATCAAAGTACACACTCGTAATTACAAACTGCCCCAGCCAAGTGGCTGTCAGCCGTTGTTATCCTTTAAGTCCTCTTTAATGCGGCTGCTTCCTTTGATTTTTACAATTTCAATTAGCGCTAAGCGCGCCGCCCGCCAAATGCCTGCGTTCAACGTAGGCCCCAAGTGTGACACTGGCTGTAGCTGAAGGCGTGGCAGGTGGTGGGGAATGGATAGAGGGGAGGCGTGACTGTGTGTGGCTGTCTGTGGTTGTTCAAGGATTTACAGCCGTTGATTATTACACAACATGCAAAAGTAAATTTCAACGTTTGCCGCACAGAATTTATGTTAATTTCACCGAAGCTCTGCCACCGAATTGGATGGATGTCAGTGGCAGCACAATTGGTGGGCGTGGCAGCTATTCGAGCATCGAGCAGAGCTAATCGCTGCCTGCTGCCTGAACGCTCTACATTGTGCGTCTATTTAAGCTTATTGCCAAACAAGCTCTAGATAAATCTGTAGCTGGGCCATAGATGAATGCACTCATGTACCCGATGGTGAACTAATGCCATAGTTAAACAATAGGCAGACATACATTATCAAGATACATATACATATATATATATATATAATAATAATAAACTAAACCTTAAACGCTCTGCTGAATTTTGTATAATATTGAGCCATGTATATGATTTTAAAGACAATACTCGGAATCGAATATGCAAGTAAGTGGGTGCTTGAATACTCAATATGGACAATAGCTAGAAGTGCTAGCCAATCCACAGCTTGCATAACATTTGTATCTTTGATCTAAAAGGGACATTTGGCACAATCCAAAATGCGAAACTATGATACCTTTACGGCAAGGCTTAAACTAATCTCAGATTGAGAAATAAAAGAAGCGAAAACATCTTGTATCTGCATATATATATATATATATATATATTAATATATTTATAAAAATAAATTTTTTTTATAAAATATAAAACATTGTACTGGAATACAGTCAGAGTGGTACCAAACGCACTATCTTATACCCCTGGTCAAGGGATCTATCTAATTATTCCATTTTTTCTGTTAATCTATCTCCCTTTCTGTCTATCTTTCCCACTCTCTCCCTCTCAATCCAAAATCGTGCATCTCTCACACAATATATGTCAGTTTCTGTGTGTTCTCATCTCTCCCCAGGGAAAGGAAATTAGTTGAAATTTGTTTGTTGATCATTAACTAATAATTGTTGATGATAGCTGCAACCAAAATAGAAAACAAAAAAAGAAAACATGATTCAAATTCATATATATTGCCGTCTGGGATTTAGGCGCAGAATACGCAGATATGGATACATGATGCTGATGCCGATCAGGCCGCGGGCCAGGGTCGGGCGAAGATACCAGTGGCCGGATCCGGCGTGCAGCAGGTGCCGTTGATAATGACGCAGCGTCGACAATCGCCAATCGTCAGTCGGCGACGCGTCGTCAATACCCGCCTGACACCGCTTGGCACTGTCGCGCACATGCAGATACAATTGGGAGAGCAGCTCGTCTCGTTATATCGTATCTTCTCTCTCTCTGTGTGTGTGTGTGTGTGTGTGCGTGCGTGCGTGTGTATGTGTGTGGCACATGTGTGCTTGGATCGATCGCCGCAGTGGCGAACGACAACACATATGGCTGTCTACTGTCGCCGTCGCCGTAGTTGTTGTTGTTGTTGTTGTTATTGTTGTTGTTAATGACGCCGGCAACGAGTTAGATAAACGGAGATGAAAACGGCTGCAAAATGTCGACTACGATCCATTTAAATGTGTAAATGCCTAATTATTCCCACAGGGATGTGCCCAGCGCTGTTGTCGTTAAATTCATGGAACATAGTCATGCATATATGTATCTACGCATATCGAGTATCAGTCAATGTTTGCACTCGAGCGTGTCCAGTGCCCCAGCCCCAGAGTACGAAAGTTCGACTATTTGACAATCGATTGGCATAAATATTTGGACAGGCGCTGGGATCAGCTCATTTGTTAGCATGGATTTCTTTGCGACGGGCGCATTTCAACAGCTCTACAGCGAGCTGGAGGAGCCGGCAATAGTCGGCGGCGACTGCTTTGACCAGGATCTGCAGCAGCAGCAGCAGCTACAGTCGAGGGATTGCTGCTACGCGGACGTTAATTTTGGCAACGGCTTTGAGCCGGGTGGCATGGATTACTATGGCATCATCACACTCGACAGTAACAACAACAACAACAACAATAACAACAGCAGTCATAACAACCTGAGCCACATATGCAGCAGCAACAGCAGCAGCAGCAGCGAAGATCAGGAGTTATTGTTTGACTTTGACGTTACAGACACGGACTCAGCTCTAGCAGGCGGTGCTGCGGCGGCTCCGCCAGAGCTGAGTGATTGGGAGCAGCGGCTGTTAGATCATTTTGTGGAAATACCCGAGCTTATTGACATACTGCCCGAGCGCACGCCTCTCTGCACCGACATGTGCGATGACTTTTTACAGGAGAGCAATAACAATCTGCGCCTGGCCGCGCCCAGCTCGCCAGCCTTCTCCGCTTCGGCAGCAGGGACGGCGTCAGCATCAGCGCCCATGCAGCTCAGCCAGAATGCTGCAGGCGAGAAGGGCTACTTGTGCACATTTGGCAGCTGTGAGAAGCTCTATGCCAAGCCCGCTCACCTTAAGGCCCATTTGCGCCGGCACATGGGCGAGAAGCCGTACGCCTGCAATTGGCCGGACTGCAGCTGGCGCTTCTCGCGCTCCGACGAGCTCGCCCGCCACCGTCGCTCTCACTCGGGCATCAAGCCCTACAAGTGCGACTATTGCGCCAAGTGCTTTGCCCGCTCTGATCATCTAACAAAGCACCGCAAGGTGCACGAGCGGCGCCTGTTGGCCGCCACCCGCTCCGGCAAGCTGCTGCCCAACGGTCCCCTGCCCCAGAGCGTCTACTCAGTGCGTCCGGGTCGCAAGCGCAAGAATCAGTTCTGACACTAATTGGCGAGGGTGCTTTACTTGTGTATACATTTTTTTTCACTTAGCTTTAAGCGCTTATTCTATTCTGTAAGAAATTTAATTAAATATTTCAATGAAAAGTTGGAGACAAATAACAGAGGCTGCTCACTAACACACTCAATTTAGCGTGAATTACAATAGTATATATATTCCATGAACTATATCTATTGTATTAATAGCTTAGAATATAAAAAGGGTTAAGCCCTTAAGCCCAGCTTATTACAAAACTTTCATTAAATAATATGCAATTACAAACTCTAGGTTTGATCTTACATAATTACTCATTGATTATAGTTATGAATTATAATAATTATTTATTGACTATGACCAAAAATATTCCAAGATCTTGAGAAAAATAGTTTATGGAGTTTATATGATTGAATTATTTTTAATCTTAGGAAAAAATAAAAATATTTTTTGTTGAAAAAAATTGAAAAATTTCTTAGCACTACAGGGGACATTTCTCACAATCCAAATTGCGAAACTATGATACCTTTTCGGCGCGGTTACAGCTTATCTCAAATTAAGAAATAAAAGAAGGAGAGTTCACAATTTGCACAGCGTTTCGTTTAAATTAAATATTACAAATGAATATATATAATTCATTTATGTAAATTATAAAACATTGAATTTAAATACAGTCGAAGTGATAGCAACGAATCCTACAGAGAAAAGGATTCTCTTACTGTTAGACCATGAAAATCGTCTGGCTAGACTTTCTTGATACTTCCATTTTTAGTTAAACATATAAATTAAAAGTTTGATTTCAAAACTATAAGCAACAATAATTTATATACCTTAATTAAACTTATCGATAGTTTTGGCATCTCATCATCCCTATCCTAAAAAAAATATAGATATATATAGATCTATGTGAATGCACTTCACTAACGAGCCTATAATAATAATGTTATTAATGATATTTTATTAATTTGGGATCAGCTAAAGGTCGCAGCACGCAGCACGCAGCCAACAGCAACAACAATCAGTAGTTAATTTCTAAGGACTGCCTGCCGTTTCGTTGCTGTCCGAAAGCTCATTTACTGGCCAAGTGTTGTCAGCGGGTAGCCGATCCAGCGCGGCTCCTTCATATATTTATTGTGTGTATAAGTGCGCTAAGGAAATAATCTCAGCTAGGGGCTGGTCGTTTATCTTTGATGTTGACTGTCAGCTCTTGCTCTTGCGCTGTTGGTTCTTAATAGTTAGTAGCCGCTCTGTGTGAGAGCCAGCATGGTAATTAAGTTGTTTTTTTTTTATTTTGTTTTTTATTTTTTAATTTTCTCACACCCGCAACGCTGCTCGACTTGGACTCGGACTGCAGCTCCTGCTGCTGGCTCCAAGTCGTATCCTTTATGCGCTGTCATATTGCATACTTTACGGCTTTCAGCGCGAGTGCTTTTGTACATTTCAAGAATATTTACAGCGCAACTTGCTTATTGTATAATGGCATTTACACAAATGTCGACGTCGGCGTTGGCGCTGCCGCTGGCGTCGCTGTCGTCGCTGTCGCTGCTGCTGTTGCTGTCGTTGCCATCACCATTTTCCCGCACCGCCCGCTGTATTTGGCCCTTTCCGTGCTCCGTGCTGCTCATGCAAAATTTCACAACAATTATTGCTCACCCATCGCCCATTGGCATTCGCTCCTTGCCCACCGCTCCCCGCCCCGTGCCCAGCAAAACTCCTGCCCCGCAACTGTCTGCCGCTCATTAGGGCGAACTTTGTAACTGCCGCCGTTGCATCTTGCAGCCAACAACAGCAGCACACAAAAAATCAACAAAAACTGCAAGTACTGCTTATTCGAAAGTAATTAGCATAAAAATAAATACCACTCATTAAGTCATGTTGTTTTTATCTATTCACCATTTGATACTGCGTGCTGTCAACGCCGACAGAACGAGACAGAGACAAAGGCAGAGCACGTAAGCGAAGAGAGCAGAGGTAAAGGGTTTGGGGCTTGGGGCTTCGGGCTTGGAGCTTGGAGCTTGGGCCAGCATTGTGTGTATTTCTGCGTGCAACTATTTAAGCTGTAGCAAATTCCTTAAGCTGAGTTTATTTACTTACGGAAACTTAAAATGAGAACTAGCACGTTCGAGGGCTTTGAAGCACCACCAAGTGAACCGGGACTAGTTCAAGATGTGCATATTTATTTTCAGCAAATTATACAGCTAATTCAATGAAATTGAACTAGTTAAAATATTATATACACCAAATTTCAATATATAACATGGATATTCCGTTTTTGCCCGGCCCACTTATTATGCTTGATGCACAAATTATTATAGATGAATATTTCTTTAAGATCTAGATCTTACTCTAGGTCATCTACATTTGCATCCGTTCGTCTGCCATATGTACATATGAACGCGTTGATCTCAGCGACCATAAAAGCTGGAAACTTGCGATTCTGATCATGGCTCTCCGTATTGTCCGCGCAGATAAAGTTTTTTTTTCAAATCATCCTTTTTTTGAGTATATCTCAGAGCATGTAGACCCTCAAGGAGGCTACACTGATCCAAAATATTTTAATTTTTATACATTCAATTTTATATATAAGAATGCAGTCTTGGGATTTGATATTTGCTCTATAAATATCGAAAACTTAATACCAAAGTAAATCATAAATGCATTTCCCAATTGAAAGTAACGCTGAGCAAAGTGGCGTGTGAGTTTGAAGTCGATTGAATGGTAGCCAAAACCAGTTACAGTTCGTGACTTTATTTCAATTTGCACTTACATAGCATAAAGAAAGTGTTGTGCAAAATGCAGGTACCTCAATCTTACGACCTGCATTAATCAGTAGATCAGAAAGTCGGTCATCTCTTTAGTCAATCACTCAATCTGTAATTCAATCAGCACGTCAGCAATTAAAAGACCAGCACTTTTGGTTCGAGCATGAGCCAGTTCACCGTGCGGAATCAGAATGCGCAGCATTTGAAGTGAATTGCATTAAGTTAATTCTTTCAGCACCCTTGAGCTGCCGACCTATGTATAAGTATACCATAACTTGAACTGTATCTGCAGCTGGAAAATGTAACTGTAATCGTAGCTGCGGGCGAATGTTTGAATGCCGCAGTAAGCAACAGCTTTTAGCGGCTTAAAGCTAAATTTAAGTTTTGGCTGCTGCTTAAAGCAGCGGGAGCATATTTCAAAAGTAATTTTAATTAGACGGCCCGAAACGAAAGTCGCATAACTTTTGGCAAATGCCAAGCCAACAGATACTGTAACCCAGGCATACATACGCACATGCACACACACGTACAGTCAGAGTTTGAGGGTGTCTGTGTGTGTGTGTGTGTAGTGGTAGTTGAAGACAAAGCGCACAGTAGTAAGAGAATTCAATTAAATGTTCATCAAAAACTACAACAAAAATGGCGCACACAGATACACACATACAAAGTCAAAGATATCTACAGAGGCGAACAAAGAATGGTAACGATGATGACAACGACAAGTAGATGATGATGATCCTGATGATGCTGATGATGATGCTGATGATGCTGATGATGATGATGGTGGGAATGATGAAGGCACACTGTAGCTGTAGCTGTAGCTGTGGCTGGCGGTGGCCGTGGCTGTAGCTATGACTGCGACTGTGACTGTGACTCTGACTTTGGCGTTGTAATCAGCAAGAGGTGCGCAGCATGCGGAAAGCCAACGACGTCGCGCACAAAAGTTATAAAATACCAGATAGATAGTAATTGCAGCAACTTCCTATCCCCCTCACCGTCGTCTATCTCGCCTTCGGTCTGCTAGTATGTGTGTGTGCGATGGCTGGCGAAAATAAGCAGGAAACTGGAAATTACAAATGATACGGAAATAATGCGATATCATGAATCATTTTTATGAGAATCGAGACTTTGATTCTCATGGGCAAATGATGCTCTGCCGTTTAATACGCCTCTCTCTTTCTCTTTCACGCCAACGCAGTGTTTCTTATTTTGATTTTTTTGTGGAACGGCCTTTTGTTGAAGGCGACAGCTATGGAATTGAAATGCATGTGCAACACTTTTGAGTCAACAACTTTGCATCGGCGGCGACCAACTGGCGTCGACCGCACAAATAATGTCAACAACATTGCCAGTCATCAATAAAGAAAATCGACAGCTGGCATCGAATTCCCATTCCCACAGCCCAACTCCTTAACACGGCCCCATACATTTTCATTCCGATTCCTTGTGCTTTGAGGTCCACGCCACAGGCGTAGATTGGCCAGGAAGTTGGCCTCAGCATTAAGCAGACATATTTTTTATTTATTTCCTTACCGCCTGTGCTCTTTACCCATATCATTTCATCTTTTTCTCATATCTCTGATTTCTTGTCTCATTCTTAGACATGCCAATATCGACGTTATCGGTACTATCCCTATTTATGAAGATATTCAAGGAATAAATAACTCCAACAATGTGCTTAAAGTGATTTTAAAAATATGCGAGAAAAATGTAAATAAAAATTGTATCATCAAAAACAATCGATAGTAATCATAGATGCTCACTTAACTATCGATTATGAAATCGATAATAGATCATTTATATCTTATCAAATTTTAAAGAAGCGAAATCTGATAGACAAGAAACCAAACCAGCCCCATGAAACATTTAAGAATCTACGAGTACTGAAAAATTGTTAGCATCCTTCAAGCAGCGTCTTATGCAATTTTCCTAAGTCAATTTAATGTTAAGTGGCAAGCGGCAAGTGGCAATTGTCTGTTAACCGCTGCCCCCGCCGGCAACGGCGCCACATTAAAGTCAATTTTCGGACAGCAAACGCTGCTTCGAGATGCTAATGAACTTAAGTAATAGAAGGAGGGGACAATGTTGCCCGTAGCAGCTACCAACCTCTGCCGGCTGGAGGCGGGCAGGTCAGATTACTGAGGCTGCCAGTGTCGCCAGGGTCCTCAAGGTTGCTTCAGGTGGCCACGTTAAACAATTTGCAGCCTTAATGTGGCACCAAAAGTGTTAAAGTCCAGGCCCCATAAG